CTTTATTAAAAGGTGGTGAAGTTCTTGCTTATTTCCATCTATAATTTTCAAAAATTATTTTCAGCATAACTAAAATCAGACAGCATCTACGATGGCCAAGTCCAAGAATCACACAAATCACAATCAGAGTATATTTCTATTTTGTAGACTGGACTAAGTGTTATGTTTATTTTCTTTAAATTATTGATATTCTAGTTGCATCGACTGAACTTTAGTTTCGGATATAATTAAAAAATCAGAGTGATGTTGCTCTGTGCTCGTGAAAAAGTTGACTGCTAGTTTTTTTAAATCTAAATTTTACAAAGTATAGGAACAAACAGTATGTGTAGCAGCACTAATTTGGTTACAATATTTACCTTTGTTATGCAACACTGATAAAATAAAGATAAAATTATTTAACGTAAGAAATTATTATTTGCATTTCAGAAAAATACATAAAGGTAAATGTTAGGTATGTAAAAAGAATGGACTATAATATTTTGTGAAAATATGATGAGGAACGTCTAATCATTTTTGAAATGTTTTACCACGAAATGTGATAACAGCGTCCAGGTATAAGCATTGATTTGAAATTATTATAGATAGAAAGGATCACAGAAATGGAATTAAAAGACCAAAGAAGCATCGTTTCATGTCAATGAAGGGAGTGGAACAAAAATTTCTAAGAAACCTCCGATTTGCTAAAAAGCACAATAAACGGCATTGTCAGAAGAAGCCTAAGACTGCAGTTGAAAATCCGTAATTAGATGATAAATTGATTTGTTATTCATTTTATTGTATTTTGTCAATAAAATATTTGTTAGTCGAATTATGTTGCATTGAATTTAAAGATATAATTGATTTGCTAAAATGATCAAAAAAATATACTTAAAACCGAGAAAAATATGAGTGCTTGGAAAATACAAAATTGAGTAATAGTAACGACTTACTATTCAGTTAAAGACTTTTCATCTTGCTCCTACTTTAGATATTATTTTATAGTAGCTTGATACAATAGTTGAGTTGATTTCTACTTCTGGGTGGAAGTATATTGTGCTAACGCCAAAAAATTCTGTACTTGCAGTATTTTTGAAACGTCTGGATATTAGTAATAATGATAAAAAGTGACGAATGTATTATTCGTAAACTGGTGGCGGATGGAGATGGTAGTGGTGACGACCGCAGATTTGTAACTATTCTCACTTTACTGTTTAAACTTATGAAGGAACCAGAATTAGCGCAAAGGTTGCAGTTTTCATAAAGTTCTGCTCTAAGCAAGGGCAGATTATCCCAAGTACTGTTTTTAAAAAGATTTGCGATTAGTTTCTTTCGCATTAAGTATTATACCTGAATAATCTGTTTGAAATGGACATGTGACTTACTAGAGTTATTTAAATGAATTTTTTAATTGTAATCTTTTTAGCCTTTTACCTCGTATTTTGAAAATGTTAGATGCAACAGAAATTGCTATGCAGAAGCAAGTATCAATTGGTTCAATGAATAAACAGCAAATCGAAAACTACATTGCGATGGTTAAGAAAATTGGTAGATTTAGCGATTATTATACTTAGTTAAATATTGTATAAGATTAGCATCTCATAGGAATCAATCATAGATTGTCATGATTGACTTGAATTTATGTTACTAAGCAGGTTTCATTTTTACTAAAGGCTTACAATGATGAAACTTATTTCTTTGTTTGAAACGCAAAAAATACTTCATTGCTCAAGGGGAAGCTGTTCATAATCGTTCTAGATATATTCATTCAAGTTTTCTGTAAACTTTTTCATTTTTTTATTTCTGAGCGAACTAGTGAAGAATAATAGTGTAATCGTTCGAAAAATATAATTGCTGTATTAAAAAGAATTGATAGGAGCGAGCTTTATATCGTAATATAAACTTCTGTCTAATTATTAATGTAAATAATTGGCATTTCATTTAAATAAATAAATTTAGATGATGATTTATTAAAAGCAAATGATTCTTTGCTTGCTGCAAAAAAGGAGTTATCCGTTGTTAAAGGCATGCGAAGAAATAAAGAAGAATACGAAATGATGGCAAAAATTATTGAAAAGATACCATCTAGATCAGAAACTAATAAGTACTGTTATTTTTTGTTTTCGCTCCTTGTAATATTTTTATATAAAATTGGAGTAAACTAATTTTTGGCTCCAAAATGCATCATACTCCCAGACTAAAAAATCTTAATTTTTTATGATGCACTTTAGAGTCTTATTAGTTTGAGTCTTGTACGTGAGAATTGTTTG